ACACACACACACACACACACACACATATACATAAACATGTGTCAGTATCACGACCAGGTGAGAGTAAAAGATGCTCGCTAGTTATTTTTACTGATAAGAGACAAACAAAGGATCACTTAAATCACCAAGCTCACACTGATAAAAAAGTAGGCTATGCATGTGTTATCAATAAAATGTACAAATGTAAAAAATAAGTATAATTAAGTAAATAGAAAGCAAATATGTTGACTCTTCATACTATTAAAGACTATATTATTTAATTATTATCAGTGTATTAATATGTAAGTAGCATTTTACAGCTTAACTTGTTGAGATGGAGCTAATTTTAAAAGTGCTCTACACAAAATTCAGATCGTATGAGTTGTCTGCACATAGTTCTCAACATGGAGGTGGCTGAGCTGGTTGCTAGCAGCTAACGGTGCTAACTCAATAGAAAGCACTAAAGAATGCCAACAGTGTAGACAGAGCTAATGGGGTTAACCAGGGGACACAGGAGAGTGGACGCTACGCTTTCACAACAATGTCCTCAAGATGTCAATGCTAACCGCCACATGAACACAGTGCAAGTGGGATACACAGATGCACTTACATGCATGTGCAGCCGGACCAGCTTACCATAACATACCACAAAGAAGCTCAGATAACAACTCACACACACTGAAGTAGCATGACTTCCTTCTGTGCTAAGAATGCCATTACTCAACTATATCTTTGTATAGTAAATAGTGGCTTGCTGCTATATTAATGCTCCAAAGAAACTTTATTTATCTTATACACACTTGGGTTCTTTAATCTAAGACAACGCATCATATTTCATTAACTAATATGTGTTATAAGAAGAATTCTTAATTTGTTAAGTAACTACAGCTATCAAATAAATGTTGTAGAAAAAAGTTAAATACTGTATTTCCATTTGAATTGTAGTGGAGTAGATGTATTACGATTTGTACTTAGGCACAGTAATTGATTAAATGTACTTAGTTACATTCCACCTGTTGCCTATGAGATTTTCACAGCCACATCAATTAAGTGGCAGTTGATGGAATTTCGTTTGTGGTGCTAAAAGCACTGGAAAATGATATAAAAAAAATCACCAACTTCAGGAACTAGTTTCTCCCAAAACAAATTTCTAATTTCCCTCCATTGTCCACAGATCTAGCTGAAAGGAATTTCACTGGAACTACTTTCTTCTGAGAAAATAGGTCCTATGAAAGTTGTTATTAACATGGTCTGTTAATTGTCCTGACTGAGCAGTTTTTTTAGTGCAGTTTTTCAATGACTGAACCTGACTGCAGAAGTTTTAAAGATGGATATACGTATCATAACTGCATGGTCACAAACCACTAACATTAAGTGGAATCATATCTCTTTTTGTAATATGAGTACAATTGCATCATAATTAATTTAAACACAAAATAATATAATAAGCTAAATGTCCAGAAAATTAATGTGTTCAACAATTAATGGCGTCAAAGCACAGACAAATTATTCTCCCTCGTTACATCCGTAGGCTGTCCCCAAAACCTCAAATTTGGATCAACATAAACACGTCACAGATAAGCATTTTCAAGCGTCCACAGCCTACACTCTCATCTGCACACACACACACACACACACACACACACACACACAAGCACACATGCACATACATGCAAGCGTCACACATACCGCCCTCAGAGGCATCACGCAAACACACACACCTTGCAGGGAGAGCTTATACTGAGAGACACCCACACACCAACACACACACCAGGCTTTCACATCTGCCTACTTTCTCTTCCTCCATCTCTCAATTTCTATCTTTCGCGCTCATGCTGAGGCCATCCCCGCCTACAATGTGTCGACACGGTGACGCCTGGGGGACGTCACCACAGGGTGGAAAAAAAGTGTATGTGTGTGGCTGTTTGTGTGAGTGTCTGCACAACACAGAAGCAAGAGATGAGACTCCCTGCATGAGTGACCATGAGGTCCTGACGTGTGTGAAAGTGGTGGGACAAAAGTCAGGTCTTAAGTCTTGAACTTAGATGTTTTTGTCTCCTTAATAATGTGTTTCTCATCCGTTTCAATGCTATTTCAAAATGTAAACACCAACAGCGTAACTCCAGATTTAGTTTTTACTGTTCCAAACAAATTCCACTGTAACAATATGTGGATATTCCTGGAGGAAACACAACAAAAAACTGCAGTGCAGTTACACAAGAGATGTAGGGAAACTCCTCATCCTTACTGAATGTGTCACTGGACATGCTCAGTGCAAACAGCTAAGTATTTCCCCAGCTCTGTCTCTGCATGCTTGGCACCAGCAATTATTCTTCTCAGGGCTCAAATCCAAGTGAAGTCACAGGTCATCAGTGCAGTTACAAGTCTGTTTGGATTTTGCTTTGTCAGAAGTCAGCAATTTTGTGACTTGAGTCTGACTCGAGTCCACAGCTGTGCAAATAACAAGCGCAGAAAAAGGTAAAAACAACTCTATCTCCACGTGTTATAGCTTTTTCCCTCCTTGAGCATTTTTAGTGAGAAATGATACAATAAACATGTCTGCACCAGAATGACTTCAGTCTGGTGTCGACATGAAGCTTCAAGCTTTGTTAAAAAAATCTGATATTTGATATCAGATTGAGCCAAAACATGTCAGCCTGACTCTGACTTGTGTGTACAGCAAGACAGAAATTGTTACCTTTGGACAGAGCTGTTGTACTGTATGTATACTTAAATCTTAATTCAACCATCCTGAATATAGAGAGTTCAATTTTATGTGTGTTTTACTGATTTACAAACAGATGTAAAATCATTATATTTGATGTGTAATTTCATTACAATAAATTAATATTCTTACAAGTATCAAATCATCCACTGTCATGTTATTAATGCAGGGTGTCCACAGGTATCAGACACTTACATGTTATGCTTTTTAAGGCTTTTACAAAGTGGTGCTCAGATTCTTAGGAAACATCTTTAAAAAATAATACAGAGCAGGCCTAATTTAGAATCAGTTTAGCCAGCACTGCCTCACACTAAGGAATATACTAAATGCCATGTGGTAGGTATGTATGCTCATTGAGCGAAAGAGTTTTATCATCTTGACCAACAACACCAACAACAACAGTGACACTGTAAAAATCTACTTCTGGGGGCTGCATGGTCTCTCTGTGAGAGTAAAGTCGTGCAGCTCTGCTCTACTTCAGCTTTCTGTTCGGTCATCAGATTTGTCTGTTGTAGGTGGCAGAAAAGACACAGTGGAGAAACTGAGGGAGGGAGAAATCAACACATGCTCGTGTATGAAAGCGGAACTGTTGTATCGAATATTGATGGAACACACAAAGTTGGTCTGTGTGTGTGAGTGTCTGAAGGAGGCAGATGCTGGACAGGTGCAGTAAAGTGGGTTGGAGGTAAAAGTAGCGGTGAGTGAATATGTGTGGTGGAAAAAACACCCAACTGGGCCCACAGTCACTGGGCACCCTGAATGCACAAAGCTGCAGCTGCAGGGGGACGCGGTCATTGGCTGCGGCGGTTACGGGGGACAGTGATGGTGGGGGGGCAGTCGGGGGTTGGTGGGAGGTGGGGTGCGGGGTAAAGTGCTTAGTGCGAATGTGGGAGCAGAATGTGAGAGTGAGAAAGAAGGGGAGGCAGGTGCCAAGCCTCACCACAAAAAGTGTCTCCACTGCATGACTCACAATTTCATCAAGCTTCATGACATGCTTCCCTCAGTTTGTGTGTCTTCCTGAGGCCAAGATAAGGACTCCACAACCATATATCACAATTACATCATACATTTATCCCTTCACTGCTCTATAAAACTGCTGTGTTTACCATGTTCCACTCACGCAGGTCACTTTTCCTCTGAAATCTGTGTTACTGCGTTACAGCAGCACAAATATTATAAGGTCTGGATACAAACAATGACGAATACAGAAAAGTAAAAGGCCCATGGAAAAAACACTTCCAACATGTTAATCCTCTTCAGTGAAGCAAAAACAACAGAGGAAGGACAAGTGGTGATATCTTCTTTGCGACAGAAAGCATTCAGGTTTATGAAATTTGGAAATTACCAAACCTCTGCCAATACTGCACTACATTATTCTCCTCCATGATCTCATTTGTCTATACTGATCATACTGAGATAAAACAATTCGTCTCTTGTTACATCTAAAGTAACACTACTATAAAAAACCTTTTTCAGTTGTGAAATTATGTTGACAGATCATTTCTGTGCTGTGTGCCTATGAAAATCTCAAGACTGAAGAGCAACAAAACTTCCTTTGTTTAAGGCACTGAAATTATTTTGGACCTGACATCATTAGATCTTACTGACCCTTATTTCAGTCTATTACTGAGTGATATGAAACAAACTAATGTATTGCCACACCTGTGACTTTAAATCACTGAATTCAACAACAAAACAGTGTCACTTGTGTGACCTGAGTAAACAATTACCAGGTGTACCACCAACATCACATGAAATGGTGAGTAATACAGAAACATATTACTACGTCACACACAGTATTCAGTTCTCTGTCATCACTAGTACAGGTGGGGTGAGCTTTCTGCTAATAGATAGTAACGGTCTCCATTCAACCACACCGTTGTAGTCTGAACAATGTTTCACATGCATGACATGAGATGTGGTGATCGGGGGGAGTGTGTGTTGGGGTGGGGGGAGTGCAAGGGGGCTTATCTCCCCCTGACACAGGAAGCAGCTGAGTTTCACAGCAGAAGTGAGCTCAAGAGAGCGGAAGGTTTGAGCCATGAGAAAAAGACATCCAGCTGCCCATTGTACAGTCTGTAGCAATAAAGGCTGAAATAAGATTTCATATGTGTGAGGTAGTACCATCTGACCAGTTACACCAAAGATCATACAGCTCCTTTATTGATACCTGGCATTTTACCAGATATAATGAGCTGAAACTGCGCTGTTAAAGGGATACTTCAGCCACAAAATAATCATTTGTGTATCAGTTACTCACACAGTTTTACACTTAATTCCTGAAGAATTTTCTTTCTCACTTGCCTCCACGGTGAACAAAGAATACGGAAATTAAGAAAATTCTTGATGAATTGAAGTAAATGGGGGCCACGTTGAACAACAGCTAAACTACATTAAAACATCTGTTTACAAACTCTCACACAACTTGTGCAGTATAATACTCATATGCTCAGTACTTCCCAAACGCATGCATTTGTGCTGAAACATTACAATTTTAAACACTTGCGCGTATGAGTAGTGCGTTTAAATTCTGTTTGTGCACTCCACTGACCAGACTTCAAACGCACGTGCTTGCCCAGGCGTGCCACTCTTTCTTGTGTAAGACAGTTTTGCAAGAGTTTGTAAACAGATGTTTTGATTTAGTTTTGCTCATATTAGATACGGACCCCTATGGCTTTAATTCACCAAGAATTTTCTCCATTTTTGGATTCTTCGTTCACTATGGAGGCATGCGAGGAAGTTATCTTCACAAATTCAACGTAACACAGAGCGAGTAATTCATATACAAATAATCATTTTGTGGGTGAAGCATTCCTTTAAACGTGCTCATTTAGGTGTTAATATTCCAACAGCAAATTGTCCATGGTTACAAATAATATTCACTGTGTCCTCCTAAACCACAGGAACCAAACCATAAAATACCTTGAATGGCAGCAGTTAGAATATCTCTGTATGGTCTGACATCATTGCAAAAGAGACTGCTGTTTCATGTCTTCACCCTCTAAGACCTAAATTAGTTCCTCAACTGTAATACTTGCAAGCAGGTAAGAGAACAGAGATGTGGTCATATATGGTGAAGCTCAGTAGACACTTAGCATGTCACTAAAATTGTCAGCTAGGGTTAAGGGTTCATATCACATAGAAGCCATCTGTATCACAGTTTCATATTTTAGTTAAGTCACTTCAGTCTATGTGACTCAGTATGCACAGCTTGGGCTTTGCAGAATTTGAAAGTATCAGGTATGAACTCTGTTGCAAATGCAGAAAGTAGTAAATAAAAGCATTGGAGCCAATTATAAATACGTCAGATATGTGCAGTAAGCAGATATCTGGTTTATTTAAGCTGTTTTGGTCACCACTTATTGCCACTTGCCAACATGCAAACACTAAACACAAAAACCTCAAAGCATGTATGTCTAAATCAAACCTGCTCATAAACCCTCCATGCTTTTACAGACCTGTAAAGCACCATACCCTACTTTTATCATCTTCTCTGAGTGCTGGGGAACCCCCTCGGTCCACCCTCCCCCTTTTAATGAATCCTGCATTCCCAGCTCTCACGTGGCATCCTGCACTGTGCTGAATTGAGCAACTGTGACTAAGAATGGGGAAGTAGCTCAACGCCTGTTTGTACACGAGAAGCGTTGTCTGTCTGTGCCGGAGGACCGCAGAATGAAAGCGTGTTGAGGAAATGGCACGACTGTAGACGGTGCGGTGGCAAGTGAGCGGATTTTTGACTTGATGTTAGGAAAATCATCTCCACTGCCTGAGAACTGGGTCAACCAGCATTTGAAAACAATTCTTTTGAATTGTTTTGAACCTGTGTAACAGTAATAACAGCAGGAAAATCAGCAGCAGCAGCAGCAGCATCAGTAACCAGCCACAGTGACAAACAGAAATGATAACAGTGACTGCACCAACAGCAGCAGAATTCAAAGTATTTCACCAAGATACAGTAACTCTCTGTCCTCTGATCCTCTGACTTTCTACCCCAAGCCCATTGGTTCCCACTGAAAATGTATATCTTTAACATTGGATCATAGATATATAGTTATAGTTTCAAAAGTCCAGCAGGGACTGCATCTTTGAGCAAATAAAACATAGTGTAGTTAATAAATAGTGCATTTGTTGGGGGCTATTTTCTGTGGCGGATTAACACACATTTGGTGCTCCAGTGCAGTGGTGCCCCCAGCAATGTTCTATAGGGGCAGCCAGATGGAAAATCTTAGGGTGGCACCGAAACCAAAAGCCGTAACTGAATATTAGGAATTCAGTTGTGCTGTTTACGTATATATTCTCATTGGAACTATGTCAATATGGAGAGGTTTTTTTTTGGTTAGTATTACTAATTATCTAATGTGCATCGATGAATGCAGGCACACTTATGTTCAATAACAATTCTGTTTTAACGTGTTATGGTCTATACCTGTTAAGCAATTCATTGTTCTTCAAACAGTTTGATTGTCCTTACGATTAAAAATACAAATATAAAGGTTTGATTTGAAGGAGTTCATTGATTGTAAGAAATAAAACATTTACTGGGAACAAGTCCTCTCAAGTTTTGCAGAGACTTGTGATCAACCATAGAACACATTTTCATTCAGATATGTTGAAGTTAGAGTTAATGGGACCCCACTGAAAACAGCCATGCCAGTTGTTCCCTCACCAAAATTTAGCCTAACTTTGGAGCCTTATTTAAACCCCATCCAAACAAGCTAGCATGAAATTGATGGTACAAATGGATGCCTTGAGTTTTCAAGGCTAACAAGATACCACCACCTTTGCGCTAGCTTAAAAAGCACGCCACAGCATCTTAAAGACAGTGAAGTTAGCGGTCAATTATTTTTGCCAGAGGAGGCAGCGATTGTATTGAGGGCCATGACCCTCCCTGGCCACCCCCTGGGGGCAGCCCTGCTCCAGTGAGTATTTCTGGCAGCAGCAGAGTGCATGTGCGATTAGCTCAAAGTAAACTACAGTGGCCATGTTGACAGTAATGAGGGAACGTGTCACTTAGAGCAACGTGTGACTCACTGATGTGTTTTTAATAGTTTTTTGGAGTGGAGCTCTGTGGCACAGAGACAGAAGATATAGCCTACATGCAATACTTCCCTGAAGGTGTTTGTGCCAACAACAAACACAAAGCCAATATATGATCAAGTGGGTTGACACCACCGCTGTCAGTCAGTGTGATGTAGGAGATGAAAACAGAAATTGACATTCAGAGCAGGAGGACTCACCATTGAAGGGGTTGATCCCTCTGGTCATCCTCTGTACGATCGCATCTTTCACTTCCCTCCTCCTCACACACTGGATCCCCAGATTCTGGAAACTGTGTGAACATAAATACAACAGGGCCATGAGGAAGTGACAGTGACTTACAGAGCTACAACAAGCTGATTAGAATAAACAAAACACACAGGGCCACACCTGAGTGAAGTATGATCTTGAATAAAGAATGTTGTTGCATATGTGGAAGGTCAAAGCAATCACGCCATCACTCTAACGTGTCTGATTTTGCTTTTAAAACAGACTGCCACAAACTAACTTTATGATCATGTTTGACCCAAATCTGTAGTAAAGTAAAAATCCATCTGAATTTAATACACAAGTCTATGAAGGATTTACAAATTATACACACCAAAAGATACTGACTCATTTGCACTCTCACACACATTCTTGAGTACACAAACACACACATATACACACAAGCTCTGTTTTTTTCTGACACGCAGCAAATATGGGTGATGTCACTTGGGGAATTCCCATATTGCCATCCTCATCACAGACATGGTTTGACAAATATGCTTTGTGTGTGTGTGTGTGTTTTGCTGTATGAGTCTGTATCCGCAAGGTCACTGATTTACACTCAGTGCCTTCCGAAACTGCCATGTGAATCATGAAATAGTGTTAATAGAGAGCAAATTGATTACGTTGTAGTCTACGACAGAAAGAGTGTGTTTGTTTATTTCGATGAAGGCATGCTGATTAAGACTGAGACTGGGGCGATAATTACTCTGGTGACAACAGTGACAGTGAAGTCATTAAACGCTACTACGGAGAGCTGCTGGACGGAGGCAACTGTGGGAGAACTCACGCGATCACTCTGCGGTCTGGGCCAAACTCGGCCTCGTAGAATCCGTCTTTGCAGTCCTTCCCCACCAGGTCGTGTGGATGCGGTCGGTACGGCTCGTTCTTCGTCACCAAATATACACGTACTTTCCCTTTACCGCAGTAATTGAGGATCTATGGGGGAAAGAGGAGGTTGCTTTAACATTTAAAGGCAATGCAATGTACAGAGAGACAAGTGCAGAGGTGTAAAGAAAGTGCTCCACGGGTGCTTTGAGGCACAAATAAACAAGTAAATCTTCAGTTGTGTTGACTGACCTGCAGACTGGGGTACGTCCTGTTGTTGTCAGAGCTCTTCTCGCCGGGGATGCTCCCAGCTGAGCGACCCTCACACTTGTACCTGAAACGCATTCCCCTCTGCTTGGGCTGCTCGAAGATCTGGATCGCCGGCTCAGCCACTACAGAGCGCAGATGATGGGAACAGTAAATAAAGGGGTGTGGAGAGGAAAAGATGATGATGGATTCAGACCACCAAACCATGAATACCACCCCTAAGATATTTTAAAGATGGCAGCTAACAGATTTTGCTCAGTTCTGCTTGATTTTTGCTGGAAAATAGTTACAGGATCAAATAGTTGAGCTAAGGTAAATACGGTTATTGACCGTATTTTTGACATGTAATAAGATCAGGAGGTATTGAATTTGCAGGTCAAAAGATGTCTAGATGTTTTGGTCAAAACAAGGCAAAAAGATGCCAAAATTTTGGTTCTACAAAATGTCAGAAAATGGCACTTTTTTTTTAATTTTCTAAAGCCTGTGTTTTAGTGTTTCTTGTCTCTCTTTGTATTTTGGAGATGTGCCTAAATGCTTGTGTAAAAGTGATTTAAAACGATCACTGTCTGGTTTAATAATGGGTAAGCATGGATTTAGTGATTTACAGTTACTCCACACATCATTGCTAAAGTTAGGTAAAACTTGATTGAAAAGTTGAAGCTTTTCGAGGTTTTCAGACAAGTTGCTTACATATAGTTGAAACACTGCTCCATGCAACCAGGCTAAGAAAAACTACAGTAAAACTAAACTACTAGCAACTTCACAATAAAGCAGTTAAACTACATTTTAACTACTCTCAAAAAAAAAAAAATTACATCCAAACTAAATCACAGGAAGTTATCACAGTGTGAGTCTGGATCTTGGACAAGAGCTACAGTCACATCTCTGTTCAATCGAAGTAGAAATGTGCGAAGGGAGTTTACCCAGTATGGCTTTATAAATGAACAAATACCAGTGACTGAGCCCACAAAAGGTCAAAGATGGCTGCCCTGCCCTGGAATAAAGCGTACAGTAATGACTGAGGGCTTTATAATTTGTAACAAATCTCAGAGCACCAGGATATGCAGTATCTAACATGTTCAAGCAATGTTGCATTTATATAGTTACATGGAGATACAACTGAATTGACACTGAGTAAAGTGTAGGTATGTTCGATTTAAAGACTAGGGCAGGCCACGTCTCACCTCGATGTGTTTTAAAGAGAGGATATGGGCCAATTGTTGGGGTGGAAACAGAAAGATGCTTAACTTTTTTAGTATTCCATCGCAGATATCTTGGTTGCAAACCAGAGGTGATTTTAGTCAAATAGTAGGCACCTGTCATTAAATGACAAATGTTTCCAATGAGCTGTGGCATTGTGCCACTGAATGGCAAAAAAGGTCACGTAGTTTGTAATTAACTACACAAACTGCATGACCCAACACCTTAAAAGGCTACTGAGATTTTAATGTAGTTTTACTGCCACCTAACTACTGTTAATTGTAAAATTGTAGTTAAACTAATTGAACTGCATGTAGTTAACCACTCCCCGACACTGCATGAAACCTAGATGTCTAAAATCCCTGCAGCATCAAATTTAGCCCAATTACATGTATCAGTGTCTTTCAAACTGCAAATCATCAAATCAGCGCTTACTAAAAAGGCAAATCTCAGCCATGCTGCACTCAAAACAAAGTATTAAATGAGACTGTCAGTTCGTCTTTGACCATTGTGCAAGAAACAAAACCTGCAACACATGATGCCTGTGTGAGAGAGGAACTAAAACTGATCCGGGAAGTGTCTCTGTTTTTGGTTTATAATGTTTCCGAACAATTTAACTGCACAAAAATGATCGTGTAGACATGACAGCCGAGCAGCAAGCACTTCAACTGAAGTGCTGCGCTCACACGCAGTTGTTACGTAGGGCCAGTATGAAACAAGTCCTGTTACATTTCTGACTTGATAAAGAAATGTACGTTTGTCAAACAAGTGGCTGGGCCAGGTCCTGCCTTCCTCATTTTGCAGCTACTTTAGCAAAGGACGCTCCAAACACAGAAGTGAGAGATGATGTTTCTCACACGTATAGACATTTATAACACAATATATAAACTCATACCTCGCAAACTATACTCATGAGGACAACCAAAACCTCTGGTTCTCTCTCACACACACATACACACCACAGGTCTGAGAAAAAGGCAATGCTTACCAATAAAACAAAATGAGGAAGTGAAAGACACTGCAATGCATTCACACACTGCTTGGCAGTTTATAAGTTTTGACTTGTGGAGACAGGCAGCTAATTTTGACACAAGAAGAGGCATTAAGATATACTTACTTAGGTGTGGATCGTCCCCTAGCATGGAGGGCATAAGAACTGAGGAGGAAAATGTGACATATAGGAAGAAATTAGGAAAGTGTGTGTGCAAATTAGATATGAAACCCACCCTGACTAGTTGTGATAACATGACAAAATGATATTTGTTGTGTTTTGTAAGCTCATTCAGTCCTGCTAAAGCCATCCTGTAATTACTCACACTTACTGAAATAACACCGTCAATCATTGCAACAAGGAGGAAGTTTCAGTGTTGCTGAACACACAATAAATAGTGCCACATACTATTAACAAGCTATCGTACATTTGGGCTGAAGATGTTCTAAACTCACACTTGAGTCAGTACTACATGTTCTTTAACATTACACACATGATGATTAGACTACATTCTGCCTAATCCTCTCATTAAGGCAGTTAGCATTGTTATTAATACACAATAAATGAAGGTGTTGCTACTCACCATCCATGGTGCACACACTCTCACTCTCGGTCGTATCACAGGTTATTGTCTCTTGGAGAACCTCGAGCTGAATGAGTGACAGTGGACAGGAAAAGTAATATTTGTTAGAAGAGAGCAGTGGGGGAATTCCCCTTCGACTCCACCCCTTTAGTCTGAACTGACCAATGAGAGGCTGCATGACTCACAGCACAGAGCATAAGACAGAGCTGAGAGGATCCACTCCCCCTGCACACTGCACACTACCTGTCTGCCCCTCCAAAGTGCTGCTTACAGAGGAGAGGGAGGTCCAACACTCCAAGATAGGAGACCGGCTGTAGGGAAAATATGGAGGAGAGGCACATAGCAGCAGCCATGAGTTTGGAAAAAGCCATGAGAAAGGGTAAGAGCAAATAATAAAAGAGGTTAAACAGTCAGATGGATCAATATAGTATACTGTAAGCAGTACTACAGATCTGCTGCATGTCACCACATGCACTGTGAGGCATCATGTATAGCCAGATGCCTGATGCTCAGTATGGAAGCCCTTTACTGCCAGTGTGATGAACAAAAAGGACCCAGAGTATTAGTAGTATTAGTAGCAGTATTTAAAAGTAGTAGTATTAAAGTAATAGTTAAATAGTATTTCAAATGAATGAGATATATCATAAAATAATGACTTACTGATTTAAAAATTTAGGGACTTAGTATCACAAAATATGACTTAATCGTAAAATGATGACATAGTATCTCAAAAGAATGAGCAACTTACTGAAAATGAGTCTCAAAATATCTCAAAATCTTTAAATAATGATTCACTTATTTAAATACATAGAGACTTAGTATCACAAAATAATAAGAAACTTTATGAAAATGAGTTAGTATCTCAAAATAACTTTGTTTTAAAATATCTTATCTCAAAAGAATCACTTTCTTACTTAGAACAATGACTTAACATTTCAAAATAATGACAAGCTTTCTCAAATAAATGACTTGGTATCATGTCACTGTTTTTGAGATATTAAGTTAGGCCTATTATTTTGAGAAAGTCTGTCTTTTTTTTTTTAGATACAAATTGATATATCAATAAGAATATTATTTTGAAATCGGTGCTTAGGATGAAATGAATTTGTCGGTTTTACTTTGAACCTTTTGCAAGAAAGAAAACCTGCCTCACGATGCCTGTGTGAGAGAGGAACCAAAACTGATCCGGGAAGTGTCTCTGTTTTTGGCTGAGAATGTTTCAGAATAATTTGACCGCACAAAAATGGTCATGTGGACATGACAGCTGAGCACCCAGAACTTCAAAGTGCAGCGCTCACACGCAGTTGTTTCATTGGGCCACTATGAAACAAGTAATGACAAAGCATCTCAAAATAATGACTCTGTGTCTGAAAAATAATGACCTTATAATAATGATTTAGTATGTCCAAACAAAAAAAGACAAACCTCTTCAAAATAATAATGACAAATAATATGGAGTCATTATTTTGAGACACGATGCCATTATTTTAAGTTTATTTATTGACTTACAGGATGTTGAATTTTTCATCACACTGGTGGAACTTGGCGTCCATGCTCATGACGGACACTGACAGTTATGATCATTTTGTGTATGTGACCCAGCTAGCTGGGCCTCTCATGTTTAACACTGGAGTAGCAGAGCTAGCCATCTGTTATATAATACACAGTGCATATCACTATATATCAGTATACGTGATCTTTGGAAAACCCGTCATTTAAAGGAATAGTTTGATATTTTGGGACATACACCGAGGCACTGTTGCCCACAGGCCAATGGCAGCCCTCAAAAACATTTGTGCAGCCCCTAAACATGACATGAAATACATGCATTATATTTGAATCATTTGTGGTCCATTTCAATGTTTTCACTTTCAGTAACAGCTAATACACTACTACACTGCATCAAACTACGCACCCCCAAACAAGTGTCTATCAGGTTAGGGATGGCAACTTGTCAATGTTCTGCCATCAATGCCAGTGCTGTTAGCTATACTGAGCAATTTTAGTGGACAACTCATGGCTGTACTTTTCCTGTGTGGCCCTTGTCAGTCATCAAATCTTTGAACACCCCTGCACTAAAGCTTTCATGTTGAGAGTTAGATGAAAAGATGATTACATTTTTACATTAAATTATTATTTTGTACATTTTATATCTCATTGTTAAACACAATTAGGAACAATTCTGGGGATGTGTACAAAGTGTGAAAACATCTATGAAAACATACGTGTGTATGTGGGATGAAAGTGTACGTGTAATGAGGAGTAGTAAAAGACGCAGTCTACTCAGTAGAAATGGTCTGTGGTGAGATCTGTGAAATATCCAGAGTTAGTAGCTGTTGAAATCTTTAAAGGTCATTTTTCAATTCTGATTAGTGAGATATACATTGCTATTTAAGTGTACTGTAACGTTAAATGTTTTCCAGGAAACGAAAAAAGCACGTAGGTAATAAAAACTCCCATTACTGCCAGCACAGCTTCAAACAACAATGTAAATATATAAATGTGACAAAGAACACAGACACAGACATAGTTTTTAGGGGTTTAATGGGTGTACGGACTCATTTAAAGGAAGTGATAAACACATACAAAAATACCCTTTCAATACATTTTAGAAACAAACATCTAAATGACCTGTTTTGTTAAATGTTTCCGAACAGCATAACATGAGTTGTCTGAAACAGAGTGGTGCAGATTCATTCAAAAGAGACCTACCTGCTATGAATGCTATTAAAAAAAGATCACATGGTACAAATATGCAAATATAAATAAAGTGATAAGAAAACCCCCAATAATGAAGAATATGCCTTTTGAAAAAAACTGTTCTCTGTACATTTAGCTGGGGAAACCGATGCTGGAAAAAGAACCTGCGTCCCTGCGTCTCTCTGCCTGCTCTGAAGAAGAAGGTGCCTCGTCAGCATCACTTTATACTTTGTTGTATACATATATTTTCTGTGCTGAAATCAAACAGTCACCCAGTTTCAGACCGTGAAGATGGAAGGTGGGGCCTACAGCAGGAAAAGAGTTGTCTCCTGACCCCCTGCCCCCCCATCCCACCCGTGGCCTCAGGAGATGCTTTTTAAGAACCTCCACAGGAGGCGCAGAGGGTAAACACCCAAAACGAAGGGAATTCCGTCTCTCTCTCCGACACATAAACACAACCATCTATGCATGCACGCTCACACACAGTCAACCATATGCGCATGCATACACACACACGAACCAGAACAACTCGTCAAAAAGCTTCTAACCATTTCACAAAGCACCACAAACTCTTTCATGGACACAGATGCAAAAACAACCCGGACTTTCGCTTCATCAGCTTCACTAGCAAACAGACCACGGTGAACTGGTGGGGGTGGGGGGTGGGGGGGTTGAGCAGTATCCCGAACAAAGGACCTTTTTTATGTTGTTTAGCCCTCCTGATGGACTAGAGATTCATTTTAGATGTCAGACAATCACAGGTACATACACAAAACTGATATTCAAACACTTTCTTGTGACCGTCTAACCCGTCCAGCAAACACTTGTTTGTCATCCACATCAATCTTGCATCGAGGGCTTAGACACAGCAGGAAATGCAAGCAGAAAACGGTCTTTTACTCCAATAGGTGTGACACTTTAACACTGAAGCTACACTGAACAGAAGGATTAGGTGTTGTTGATATGGTTCTTCTGATTTTCTGTATTAATCCTTCACAGAGCCAAACAATAACCATAAAGCTTCAGACCCATTTTACCTCTTCTGAAAAATGCCTGACATTTCCTGTTGTGGTAAGGGTTATTTTCTTGCTCTTACCTGCACCTGAGAAGCCCTGATGTCACTGAGTGTCTACGATCACCTTCACACTGCAAGTCCAATACCAACCTGGAGTGCTCTTTGGGTAGTCGTGGTGGTCCAAAGAGTCACTGTTGTCATTTCCATCATATCCAAGCAAACCCTCAATAAAGCCTCCCTGCAACTGTATCCAAACCTATACAGTGTTTACAAAAAATATCCCGGGCTGGAGACCTTTTTTTTGGACAAGCACGAGAAAAACAAAAAAAAAAAATTACAATTTTTTAAACTTTTTTTTTTTTTCCTTTTTAGATAAAACTACAATAGAATGGTCAAAAGACTTAACAGTGATCTTTTGCTTTTTTTTAAGACAAAAAGTTATGTACATCAACATTTACTGTACAGTTTTCTGTTTGGGGGAAAATTAAAGAAAAAAAAAAAAAAATCAGCATACACCAGAAGTGTGTGTAGCAAGCGTCGATAACTGTTCTGGGCTGTTTTAAAACGTGTTAACTGGAAAAAAACAAACAAACAAAAAAAAATGGGAAAATGAAAAGAACAGCTCATTTTCCATCTGTACTGTGTACATTTTAAACAATGAGGGAGAAGATGCGTAAAAAACTGTCGCTTTAGTTCTCATGTCAGATATCTCCGGGACTGTTGTGTTAAATGCCCTCCGGCTGGGAGCGTGACAGAGGGTGCTGACGACATCTGGTTTGACCGAATCACCTATCCACTGGCAAATCTGTAATCTCGGAAGATTTGAGGTGAGGTGTCCGTCCTGCTGCTTCACACTTGAGATGGACCGACCTGAACACACTCCCTGCCCCTGTGTGAAGTCATCTTCTCGGTGTTTGACTTAACTGTAAAGCCCCGACTCTGTACGTATGAATCCAGTCTAGAGTTGTGTGTTCAAGCTATGTGGATTCTGGCCTTTTCTGTTTCTTTGAGCCTCTTGGCCTGCTCCTCCATCGAGGGGGAGTGGGCTCTCTTGGAGGCCGCTCCGTTCAGTGGGTCGGCACCTCGGCTCACTAATGTGGGGATGGAGCTGCCGACGGAGGGCGCTGGGTGTTTGGATGCCACATGTTCTACAGAGAAAGAGAGAAGGACAGAACAGTTCATTTTAAACCTGTTCCTACCTGGTGTCAGCATGTGTCTTGGGTGATCCAATCATAAGTACACAGCACTAAACACAGAGTAAACACCACTGCGATTCCATCACTCAAACCACTTGCTGAGGTGGTCACACATTTGACCATATATATTGTGTTTTGTAAACACTAATGCGTCCTGATG